AGAATGTGGATGAGAGGTGCTGACTTCTCTCGCTGGGAAATTGTTCCTTTCTTCATATCCATATTTTCCAAATTCTTCCAATATAGCATGTAGCATGTAGTATACCCAAATCGGCATTCCTCAGTGATTGGTTACCTGTCTATAACGGACAGCTGTAGGGATGCTTGTCTCTCTATTCGGGATATCGTCAGATATATCAGCGTCACTATTCTTCTTGTACAGAATATAGACCTTTGCAATATCTTATCAGAAAACATTGATTTGATGAAGCTGTACAATGAATGAAGAAAGTTATTTTTTCCGGAATTGAAAGTATCTTCTTTGGGGGAAAAAAATAAAATGACAGACTTTTAGATAACCTAGAAAGCTCATCTTTTATGCATGGCATCGTCCTCGTTGCTCTCGATGAGACAGAATGAATTGGTTTGGGGAATGATGATAATAATAAATAGATATAATACCGGCGCTGCCTTTACCGATTAAATTCATTTTTTATCTAAAATATTTTTTTATGGTGAAACATTGAGAAAAACCATTCATCAAAATAAATCATGACAAGAATACGTTGCAAGCTGACGCAGCGCAAATACATTGGGAAGCTGTTGAGGTAGCAAATTTTAGGTAGCAATTTCGGTAGAAATAGGCTAGGATAGTGAATTTCAGGTTTTAGAGAAAGCAGAGAGCTCGAAATGTGTCGCCATTCTGTATCCGACTGTGACACCATGTCTTTTGTATCACAATTAGCGATGGCACGACATAATAAACCTAGTGACGTGCGGTGTAGAGTTAAATCCTCCATGGTGCCACAATGTGTAATTGCTTTTGAAAAGCCTATGGGGCTTATGGGTAATTGAATAGAAAGTACATGCATTTCTATTATTTAATTTTTTCTATAATTATTTAAATTGTTTTCAAAATATGTTTTGGTCTACTTGAAATGTTCGATTTGTAGTAAGTTTTTCAGCTTTATTTTATTTTAGAAAGATCACCGCTATTATGGCTGGGAGGCAGTGCCTGTGCGTGCCATTTTATCACATGAGTCAGCACGGCGACCATGTGGCCTGAATACGCAACTGTGCTCATTTACAATTCGTGTTTATAAAATTCAGAATATAAGGGAGGTAAACGCATAGCAGTCAAAAACATGGTTTAATATGTAAAACAGGGAAAGAATTGAAACAAATATTATTCATATAATTTAAACATGCCTGTGTTGACTAAACACTTTGAGAACATTTTTTATCCTAAATTTAATTTGTTTACCATTATAATAAAGACATGATAATTTGTAGTCGCCGTGTTAATCGCTCGCATCAATGATTTCGTTTTCTTTAGGGGTGTTCACTTCATGAAGTGCCTGTCCGGTGTCTAGTATATACAGGAGTAAAGTATGGTGATATATGAGGTAGCTACGCGATAAATCGCAAAGAACAACGAAGAACGAAGCATGGTTTATTTTACGATAAAACATTTTTAAGATAATGTGTGAAGCCCATTTCAACCGTGATATTGCTGGAATATTGCTAAAAGCGGCGTAAAACCATACTCACTCACTCATTTTTGAAGATTAGAACATGCCCTCGCAACCTAATGACGTTGTAAATTGGACGATCATGTTTCTTGGTTTGTCAGCACCATACCCGTGCTCGTGGGTTTCACCGAAGGGGTAAACGTCTGAGACATGCATCACTTCGGGCTTTCCTCCCCCATTAAGCTGTCACGCCGTGATATAACTGGAATACTGTTAAAAGCGGCGTAAAACCATACTAAACTCACTCATTTTTGAAGATTAGAACATGCCCTCGCGACCTGATGACGATGTTACTTTTAAGAGGGAATTGTCTGGTGAGTTGTTCGCCGTACACGTAGCTTGGCAACGTAGATGAACGCAATGATCGAACAATCGCATCGAAAAATGGAAAATATGTGATAATCGGTATTAGGAGAAAATTACAAATAATCGACCTGAGGATTGTGAAAATATACGGGAAATACCAAACTTAATCCACCTGTTCATAAAATGGACTTGTCCGACATTGCCGAGGTCGGATTCAATTAAGGGAGTCATCATTTTTAAGATAAAGTAACTATTTTTAATACTTGCCCATTTTATCAACACCCTTTAAAAGGGTGTACATAATATTGATATATCATATCTCACTCGGGGATGCGCCCCTCGTGGTTTATTCTCCCTGTCACGTTTCCTTATTTCTTTAGTAAACAAGTTTGTTTGTTTGTTTGTTTGTTTGTTTGTTTGTTATTTAAAGCCGCAATATTCCAGCTTTATGACGGAGGTCTGTAAATAATCGAGTCTGGACCAGACAGTCCAGTGATTAATATCATGAGCATCGATCCACGTAATTGGGATCGATGACATGCATCAACCAAGTCAGCGAGCCTGACCACCCGATTACATTAGTCGCCTCTTACGACAAGCATAGTCGCTTTTTACAGCAAGCATGGGTTGCTGAAGATCTATTCTACCCCGGATCTTCATGGGTCTTTGCCACAAAGGAAATTGGGTTAGTCTCAATGTTTAATAAAAGTATTTCATCATTGCTTGACACTCTTAGTATTGTATATGTTTTCATTTAGTAAGCAAATTAGTCTAAAAATAGGCAATTCGCAATTAGTTATTGACATGTTCATATCAGCCAGATTTATATTAGTTAGTTTTCTTTTGCATTGGTTAATACTGTTAAATTGTGTTGTTTAATATTTAAATTATATATATTATGCTAACAGTCTTCAGATAGCACAAACATCCAATGACCCGTGATGTTGAGATGCCACTTAATTATTGTCTACACTTAAAGTGAGGAGCAAAAGAAACAGAAAATATAAAGCTCCGCACAGCGATAACCCGTTCGCGGTGCTCTCTGTACTATCGCTGCCATCAGTCAAAGCTCCTTTCTGTGATAGGTGGTCACAACCATGCTTGGAGTTGAACTCGCAGCCGACGGACCGTTATGTTTACAAACAAGCGATCGCTGCCGTGACGCCGAATACACTTACCCTAACTTAATCATTTTCTTTGTCCGTCAATTTGAATTTCTATTTCATTCCAATTGGTATAGTAAGGATGTAAAGGTGAATTTGGGTGATTTTACGATCATCTGAAATCCCGAGCCAATGTGATCGAACAAACAAGAAGTTAATTCATCTGGGAAATATGGTCAGTCGTAAACCTTTTCAAAATTCACTATGATGGCATTCCCAAAGACATTAACAAAGGTATAAACGTTACTACATTTGGGGTTAGAGGGCAAATTTCAAGATTCTTGTAATGGCCGCGCCCACACTGGTGGTAGCGATGTTACCGAGAGTGTAACGAAGGTGTCACGCGCTGGGAAGGAGCTTGAGAAAATATGTGACGTCATCCATTGTATAATGATTGTCGTCATCAATCTGTCAACGGAGGGCGCTGGCCATTCGTCACCACTCGGCCCTTTCCGTAACCTGTCCCGGAATAACACGAGTTGGTCACGAATGGGCGCTGGCATAACCCGTTTTTTCTGGGCTTGACGGAAATAGCCGAAAGTGAGATTGTGAAGACATCGCATTCCAAGATGACGTCATCGCATACCTAAATGACGTCATGCCTGTCTTGCAACTAAGCTGGTCCCCGTCTTACATATCACAATATAAGTTGACGACGCGCATAGGGAGCCGGGAACCAGCTTAGTTGGCAGATTGCTGTGTTCACGTAGAAAGAGAATGCTTCAGAAAATGACTGATAATTTATATTTTACAATGTATAATTATGTGTCTTCAGATTTGTGGGTTTTATTGAGTATTCTACCTTGAATTTGAAAATTACTAGATTCTGCTTGGTTAATCAGAGGCTATTTAAGCACAAAAAGCCCCCTCTGATTAAAACAGCTGGTTTGGCTGCAGCATCACCGCGGAAGCGTATATTCATAGAATAGTACTTTTTCAGTCATTGTCGGTAGCATTCGTGACCAACTCGTGTTATTCCGGGACAATAGCAGGTTACGGAAAGGGGCGAGTGGTGACGAATGTGTCGGTAGGCATATTTAAATAATTATATATCTACAATTAAAGGTTACAAAATGCAAAGTTGCAGTTACTGCACTATTGAAAGGATGTGTGGGAATACATTTCGTGCAGAAAACGCGATAGAAATCTACAGAGACAGTGTTTTAAGTTTTAGGGACAACAGAGAGCTTGGAATTTTGCGCTTTCTATAGTTGACCGTGACGTCATATCTTTTGCGTCACAATGAGCGATATGACGTCATAATGGTGACGTGCGGTGTAGAATGAAAGCTTTGCAAAGCCTTCTTAGTGTTATTAGGGGTGCCCACCTCATGTTAGCTGACCAAGTTGCCATGCTTATGTGCTTTCAATGCCTGTCAAATGTTCGTGTGAACAAATACGGTGTAAACAAACTGCCTGAGCATATACCGCGCCATATTTTGTTTAGGCTGTTGTCGGCGAATCCGTAATTCAGATCGAGAACCCACTCAAAACACTGGACTCAACCCATGCCTCTTCATAAAAAAAATTGCTAGCACCAAAGAGTTCGCGTTTTATTTAGTCATGCGCGTTCGGTTTCAAATTCAATTTAGTGCGGTTAAATCTACAGGTAACCTAGCTAGTTCTACATTGATAACACAGTATGTTTATCTCCTAATTGTTTGCACCGAAATCTAATTTGAAACTGAATTGGCAAACCAAATTTATTTAAGAAAACAAAAGGGAAATAAGAGTACATCAAGAAATTTACGTATCTGAACCAACTTAAATTTGAATCCTTAAATTGTTTTTCAATTGTTTCAGCCAATTGTTTTCCTCGAAAAAGAAACGAAATTTGATTTTGGAGATGTTACAGTTATGCTAGACCAGGTTCGAACTGCTATTAGAAACATGAGTCATTCCCGGAGAATACAAATATAAATACCGACCCTGCTATTGTAACAGAGTTGCGTCCCTTGGTAATGTTTACATCCGGGCTTTGTGTATCCAAAGCAATGAAGAAACAATCCAGGCGGCCATCTTTGTTGTCATAAACGCGAAGTGCTGGATCGCCGCATCAAAAAACCGTCAAGATGAGCAACAGAGGGACGAACAGCATCCTAAGCGAAATAGAATGGGACGAAGGATTAAGTATGCCTGTCGCCAACGCCTCAAACAAGGTGTTGGAAGACCAGGTTAGTTTACAAGATAATGTTTTGTTGGTTGTCATAAACAAAATCAGTCAAAAATGTTAGAATATGCCTGATTGAGGTATGCACCTGTTTTCAAATTAGACAGAAATAATTACAGAGGAACAGAAATAAGACCATGAAATCAGAATGAATCATATAAATATACCTGATAAACAATAGGGAGGCAGGATAAAATTTATAGCATATTACATAAAATATATCGACCACAGCTGAACAAAGATAAAATTGTCCTGTTTTCGATCAAGAGTGTTTATAAACAAACGGACCTACAGACCGTGTATATATTTGCAAATGTATGTAACTGCAAATGTTTATAAGTGAATAAATATATTGTAGGGCCCATATTATAGTCAGATAAAAATGAAAATACAAACGTATGACGTTTTGTTAGATCTATTTTTTTTCATTTGGATATTTTTTTAATCAAAAGACAAATATTTTCTGTATAAAATATATTTGAAACAAGCAGATTCTAGGCCTATCCAAGGAATTTTTGTGGCACCCTGCGAATAAAAAGTGAACATATTTGGGGATATTATCTAATATCTTTTATAATCTGAATAGTCATCATCACGGACACTCATTAAACTCTGAGTTCCATGTAACACCATATTTGTCACAGACCCATCATGTAGCGGGAATATTGCTGAGTTCGGCGTTAAGCAACACAAAAATACTTGTCCAAAGTTTTCAAGCCCTGCTAAAACTTTGGTGTAGTGTTGTTTTGATACAAAATTATTGTTGGGTTTCATCCTTTAAATACAAATGCTAGGGTTGGGGATCACTTACAAATAAAGATTAATAGTTGCAGTTTCGTCCACTAGTTCTTATATTATTATTATTATTATAATGATAACATATAGCAAAACCCTTAAAAATGGCAAATTTTTCTACTAGTCCTCGTAATGCCCCGTATTTTGCAGTTTGGCAGGGACTACAGGAATAGTACAAATTTCCATTGCTGAGTTGTTACCGGTTAAGGACAAGTCATTGTATATTTACGTGTTGTTGGTGTGTACCACATGCACAGGCTGCATCTTAATTCACAGATTCAACATAGAAACATCAACATGATTAAGGAGAGAGCAGGTTAAAATGGCACCGATTTCTCTCGCGAAAACGTCACCTCAAAACCGCAGCCTACCTGATTTGGCTGTTCACCGAATCACCGACAACAGCCTGTAAACAAAATATGGCGCTGTATATATTCAAGCAGTTTGTTTACACAGTAATCCTTTACTCGAACATATGACAGGCATTTAAAGCATATAAGCACGGCAACTTGGTCAGCTAACATGAGGTGGGCACCCCTAAAGAAAACTAAGCAGGCTTTGCAAGGCTTTCGTTTTACACTGCATGTCACCATTATGATGTCATATCGCTCATTGGGACGCAAAAGATTTGACGTCACAGTCATCTATAGAAAAGCGCAAAATTCCAAGCTCTCTGTTGTCTCCAAAACGTAAATTCATTTCTTTTAGATTTCTATCGTGTTTTCTGTACGAAATGCATTGCCACACATCCTTTGAATATTGTAGTAACTGCATCTGTTCATTTTGTAACCTGTAATTGTAGATATAATTATTGAAATATGCCTACCGACAATGACTAAAAAAGTGCTATTCTAAGAATACAAGCTTCCGCGGTGATGCGGCTGTCAAACCAGCTGTTTCAATCAGAGGGGGTTTATTGTGATTTGAAAGCCTCTGACTGACCAATCAGAATCGAATAATTTCCAAATTCATGATAGAATAAACACTAATGACAGCTAGAGATTGACTGATAATTACAAGCTCTGTGCTCACTTGTGAATTCAGCAGATTTGTACATACCCTGACACTGCAGTAATCTAGACTTGCCAAACATTATAGACTTGCATTGGCTGTATTGGATATATTTGTTTCAGGGTCTGTGTGACAGAATAGGACCAGATAGGAATTGGTCATTTACTGTACAAATCACATGTCTGACAATGAATATATATCCATGCTCTGCTATTTTTTTCTATAGGTACAATCAAGACAAAGAGTAATAGTTACTCACAAAGAGGATTTAGAAGAAGTAGATGATCGTGTCAATGCTATGACCGAGCATCTGAAGAATGTTCGACAAGAGCTGCAGCACACACAGAGTCTGGTGAATGCCCGGAAGCACGAGACGGAGACCGAAAGTCACCTGTTGAAGATTGCACAGCGGGAAGATGGACGACTGCAACAAGAAATCAATAAGCTGGAGAAGGAACTTGAGGAGCTCAAGGAGAAGAAAAATATATATGAGGTAAGACAAGAGGAAGATGGGTTTCTAAGACAAGAGGGGTTTTTTTTAGACATGAGGGAAAGGGTTTTCTCTAACTATAAACCACATAAGGATTTCAGGTTAAAGAAGGTCGACAGCAAAGTCTTTTGGTTGTACAAGGTGACTCGACCCGTGAAGAACCGGGATAGAATAGGTCTTCAGTAACCCATGCTTGCCATAAAAGGCGACTATGCTTGTCGTAAGAGGCGACTATGCTTGTCGTAAGAGGCGACTAACGGGATCAGGTGGTCAGGTTCGCTGACTTGGTTGATGCATGTCATCTGTCCCAATTGTGTGGATCGATGTTCATTATGTCAATCACTGGATTGTCTGGTCCAGACTCGATTATTTCTTGACTGCCGTCATATAGCTGGAATATTGCCGAGTGCGGGGTTAAACACCACACAAACAAACAAACAAGGCGACTGAATGGATCAAGTGATCAGGCTCGGTGATTTGGTTGATTGCATCCAACGACTTGGAATAATGCTCATAATATCAGTCACTGGATTGTCCAGGCCAGACGCCCTTATTTACATGCAGTCACCATATGGCTGGAATATTACTGAGTGCAGCGTTAAATACCACACATCAAACTTGACCGGGAAAATCATGTCTCATTGCTAACTTTCATCATCTTCTCCCCAGAACAACATCTTCCGTCAGACCCAGAAATTAGAGGAGATGAAGTCACAGATGAACTGGGATCAGCAGGCTCTGGAGGCGTGGCTGGAGGAGTCAGCCAGGAAGGATGAGGATGCAATGACGCTCCAGAAGTACACGCGCCAGGATGAAAGCAAGATCAAGGTAAGGAAACAATGTTCCATTGCTGTGTAAGACATTAGTGGTCACATATTCTTGTGTTATTTGAGTCAGTCAAAGATATATTAAAATGTGCCAGACCAATTCTTTAAAACAGTTTCTCTGGTTTTTCAGATGATGATTTTTATGAAAGGTTACCAAAAAGGATAGCGCTTACAGGGTTCACTCTAGGAAATTTCTGACATGGGCCCTTTACGTGAAAATTTCAAATATTACACCCATACTTGCCCATACAGCACAATGTTAAAATGCCCCATTGTCTTTGAAAATGTGGGCCTTTTTTCAAATTTAGGGGCTTAAAGCACAAGGCCCCACCCTTGAATTTTCCCTGCGCTTGTACAGTCTGTGCCAAAAGTGTTTGCATCTACTAGCCCACATTTGGTACTTAAAAATGAGTTTCTTTAAAATATTTTAGTGTTATGATATGGACCTTTTTTAGCTGAGCTAACAACACCGAAAAAGTTGTACGTAAGCTAGGTTTGATTTTCAGGACAAGCATGTCAATTGTTTCCTCTTTCTTCTCCAGGAGCTGTCTCTTCGCATGGAGAAGCTGACAGACGAAGCTGCTAAGAAACGCCATCAGTTGGATCATGAGATGACAGAAACCCTCACAGCCCAGGTAAGACAGGATACAGGAGAAGGGCTGCCTCAACACTTGGCCAGTGGTCCCGCTGGCTTTTGAAACTACCAGTCCTTGTGGACTGGCAACTCTAAAAATTACCAGTCCCCACTAATTTTTGTCAGTCCCAACTAATTTTTGTCAGTCCCAACTTTCAACAAATCAAAAATGTATGCAAATTATTTGATTTTTAATCTTACAACATCATGTTGAGAGCAAAGACGTGGAACTACGTATGTATGTTTTTCTTGTAGCTGTTTTATTTGTAAGAACATGGGCTAATAAAACTATATGAGACATGGTATCTGGTTTTAGACTGGCAGGGGAAAAAGAAAAAAATTTGTACTTTATTTATTATAACCTAAAGAAAAATTGTGACACTGAGCCACGCTTGATATTTAAATGAGTTGTTAGTGAAACATTACTACTTATTTGGAGGTGACTGCAAGTCCCTGGTACTTCTGACTGGCCTCCGACTTGGAACTAGTGTCTGTAGTAGTCCTGACAGTCACTGTTGTATTTGTTAGATTGAGCTGGACAAGACTGCTGAAGATTTCCGGAAGGCCCACTCAGAACGTCAGGAGCTGATCCAGCAGTGGGAGTACACCATCGAGCAGATGCAGCGGAGAGACAAGGAGATGGACCTGCTGGCTGCTGTAGGTTCACTATCCCTCTCTCACACTCACTCTCTCACTGTCCCTCTCTCACACTCTCTCACACTCACTCTCTCACTATCCTTCTCTCACACTCACTCTCTCACTGTCCCTCTCTCACACTCTCTCACACTCACTCTCTCACTATCCTTCTCTCACACTCACTCTCTCACTGTCCCTCTCTCACACTCACTCTCTCATTGTCCCTCTCTCACATGCACTCTCTCACTGTCCCTCTCTCACATACACTCTCTCACTGTCCCTCTCTCACATGCACTCTCTCACTATCCTTCTCTCATACTCACTCTCTCACTGTCCCTCTCTCACTGTTCCTCTCTCACACTCACTCTCTCACTGTCCCTCACTCACTGTCCCTCTCTCACACTCACTCTCTCACACTCATTCTCTCATTGTCCCTCTCTCACTGTCCCTCTCTCACATGCACTCTCTCACTATCCTTCTCTCATACTCACTCTCTCACACTCTCTCACTGTCCCTCTCTCACATGCACTCACTCACTGTCCTTCTCTCACAATCACTCTCTCACTGTCCCTCTCTCACACTCACTCTCTCACTGTCCCTCACTCACTGTCCCTCTCTCACAATCACTCTCTCACACTCACTCTCATTGTCCCTCTCTCAAATGCACTCTCTCACACTCACTCTCTCACTGTCCCTCTCACACACTCACTCTCTCACTGTCCCTCCTTCACACTCACTCTCTCACTGTCCCTCTCTCACTGTCCCTCTCTCACACTCACTCTCTCACTCTTGCAGTCTCGTCAGAGGTGACTGATGGGATCAGGTATTCAAGGCTTGTTGAATTGGTTGATGAATGTCATCACAGGGATAGACATTAATCTAGAAAGTCTACTAGCCCTAATAGTTACATACAGGAACATCCCCAAAATGTTTGAAATTCTACCAGCCCTCAGGATACCTTTGATATTAGCGAAAATGTCCCGGCAGCATATGCCAATCACATAGATCGATACTCATATTGTTAATCACTGGATTGTCTGGTCTGGATTTGATTATTTACAGGCTGCCACCATATAGCTGGAATATTGCTAAGTGAGGTGTTAAACAACAAACAAGATGCTATCAACACAGAAGCAATCTCTTGAAATGGGTGAAAATCCATCAATAAATAGTGTTTGTGTGTGTGTATTTCATCCTCTAACTTTACGTTTATGCGATGTCTCATCAAGTATGCTTCAAATGAAAATTATTCCTTCAAAAACTGTAATGATAAATCCTCTATATAAATAACACCGCTCCCTGATTTGCCTCCCAGCAATTGGCGCGTGTGAAGCTGGAAGTGCGGAAACGCGAGGAGTCCATCAAGGAGAAGCAACAGTTCCTGGAGTACGAGATCGAGAACAACCAGGACCAAGAAGTTAAGATCTCCAGCGCCGAGCGGCAGTCCGCAAAACAACGCCTCGACCTACAGGAAGCTGAAACACAGCGAGTACAGTTTCAAGATGAGGTGGGACAACAATATACTATTTTAATTGATATGGTTACTTGGTACCATCTGGGGCAGTCGGGTAGCCTTGTGGTTAAAGCATTCGCTCGTCACGCCGAAGACCCGGGTTCGATTCCCGACATGGGTACAATGTGGGAAGCCCATTTCTGGTGTACCCTGCTGTGATATTGCTGGAATAGTGCTAAAAGCGGCGTAAAACTAGACTCAGTCACTGACATGGTACCATCTGTCGTGCAGAAATTTGTAAAAAGTTGGAAGCAGCTTTGAATTCAAGTGACTCCCATCCCCATCTTCCAGTGGAGGTCGTGGTCCTGTGCACAGCGTGCGGGTCACACGTCAGGGGACATTAAACAACTTTGGTCGTGGAGAGTAGTTGGATGGGTGACCGTCTTTTGGCAGCTTGATTCCCGAGAGTTTCTAGGGCCTCGGCCCTGTCCCACATTTAAGCACCTGTAAGCACATGTGGGATGATGCCTTGGGCAATTGACTTTGTTGAAAATATACCCCTGTTCACCCAGCAACGAAAGGGTACCCGGTAGGATGAAACGGTAATAAGACCATTAACCTTCTAGCGCCTCACGGGCAGCTTGGGTTGCTGAGAAAGAAAACTTGGTGCTCACTGATCCATAAACTGTAGCGCACCAAAAAAAAACATCATCATTATTATTATTATTATTATTATTATTATTGTTGTTGTTGCATCAAGATGTTTTGTGTTGTAGCTCGATGCTTTGAAGCGTACAGTGGATCGCACCAACACAGATCTGGAGGTGACCCGGTCTCAAGTCAAACAGCTCAGGAAGGAGGTGATAGAAAAAGCAGACAGGTACGATGTAAAACTGAAATAGGATTGTAGTGATTTGACATTGCTTGTAGATTTGAGGCAAAAATTGGTTTTTATTTAGAATCTGAGATCAGTGGTCATAAATGTATAAGTGTTGATGACCTGTTGGTGAAGTGATCTGTAGCAATTATTCATCAAAGACATTTTTCACCAATCTCGATCAAAGACGTAACTGGCCGTGTCGAACCGTGAAGAATTTTACCTAAGCCTAGATGCCTTTTGAAATTAAAATCCAGCCTTTTTTTCTCCATCCTCTCTGAACCCTTTTTCACCTATCCATGAATCTGCTTCTAGGTTAGAGGATGCTAAACTCCTCCGTGAGACACTGGTGAAGAAGTTGAAGGTGGCGACAGAGTCGACGCTGACTGCTGAAGAGAGGGCAGCCATGATGGGATCACTACTGAATGAAGAGGAAACTCGGCAGGAGGAAATTGAGCAGGAACTCAAACAGCTGAGAGACATGCAGTTCCGGAAAGCTGAGGAGATGTACGCAAGTAAACGAGACGAGAAGAACACAGAAGCTGAGATACAGGTGCGATACATGTCTCCATTATCAAGCTGATTCTGAATGAACAATGGAATATGATTTTGTAACATATTTTGTCACGATACAAATGGATCAGACATGAGTTGTGATATTTACATGGTCATTGCTTGAGTGATTATTTGGTATGACTACATATAGTACCGTATTCGCCGTAATAAGTTGATTTGAAAGATCGTAAATTTCGTGGTTTGTACTGAAAGCCTGAAATAATACAAAAAGAAAAGTCTGTGAGTATTATACACGACAGATATATTTTCCAGAATTTAATTGCCCATAATTAAGGGTGCGTTTAACACACGAGTGCGTATTATACACGAATAAATAAGTCTTGTGTACATTGATCAATCGGAAGCTGTGCTAATTGGGATTGTTCACTACCCAATATATTAGCAAATATCCCCGTGTACGCTTATTAGAGCGGGGCGCTTATTACGTCAAATACGGTAATCATGAAACAAGACATGTAGCAGATTTCTTTGTCTGCTAGGTTTATTTCATTTCACTTATTTTCAAGTACTGATCTTACCAATCAAAGAAATGATGGCCTGCATGAATAATATGTAATTATTCTTTGTTATAAATAGGGGATATTTCATGTGTCGAGTGAAATATCATGTTTCTCTCACCGAGTGATGGGGGGAAAGGAGATATTTTCACGAGTGGCGTAGCCACGAGTGAAAATATCTCCTTTCCCCCCATCACGAGAAATATCCTATTTATTATATACTTTTGGTGTAGTTGTCTGCAGGAAGATTAAATTATTTCATTACAAATGTAAAACCTTCAAGCGTAAATTCTCCCTACATAACACACATGGACGGTTTTCCACCCCCTGTAAGTACGACTAAAAATGTAGTGCTGTCTTTGCTAAATCTTAAAAAATATAAACAAAAGTAACCAAAAATATTTAATGTCACTAAAATTCTTTAGTATAAATTTGGATATGATTAGATACAAAATCAACTTCATCAAAAAATAAATTTCAAATCAATGATACGGTTGTTCTAAGCGAAAGAATACACGAAATTCAAGTAACAAAATGGCGCTTTGCGAAACGTAAAGTATCGACTGACAAATCAGAAGAGAAATTCACAGTTTAATACAAATCATTTTCAACAAAATAACAAACGGTAAGAATCGTTATTAACTACATAAATGACCATCTGTCATTATATGACTTGTCAACGTTGAACTGACGTAAATCAACAGTTTGTGTACGAGCTGTCTCGTGTAGGCCAACATAGTTCCGTCAACGTTTTACGTTCACTGCAGTGAAATATCAGGTGTTATGTTCACTGCAGTGAAATATCAAGTGTTATGTTCACTGCAATGAAAATATCACTTTACTCAACTTCAGAAAACTCAGTCCTTCACACTGAAGTATATAATAAATGAGAAGACGTGTGTAGTGGTTGTTAATTAGTTTACTGGTTGACATGGCTTACCGTATATCTTGACTCTGGACATTTTCATAATTGATGACCTTCCGTACCGTTTACACAAATATACTATCAATGGATGCTCTCTGGAATCAACGTATATCAGGTATCATCCAGAACTTTCCGTTCTATAATCTGAGAGTTTGTTTTGACATGAGAGTTATCTCCCTTTAGTCATGCTATTCATTACCTGATGGGGTTCTGTTTTAGGGAAGTTATGCAGCCATGCGGAACCTTGGCAGCAAAGTGAACAAACTCGATCATGATTCTCTGAAACAGCAAGAAATCATCTATAACCAGGTGGGTACCATGTCTGTGGTCAAAAATTCCCATTTCGTCATTTCTGTGTAGAGGAATGTTTTCATCCTGGAGGGTGTTAGAACTGGCCACTTGCATGCTCTGCTAGTCGTACAAAGCAGCTAAATGGACGGGGAATCGGAGTGCATGTCGTTGTACATTGTGGATTTTCCTCATAATATCAACCACACGTTTGTTTTGTTCAGACTTGATTATTTACAGGACTCTTCAGATAGTTGTGATTGTTCATTCGTGACCATCTCATGTTATTCCGTGACAAGCCGAATAGCGACTTGTGCCCCTCTCGTGGCCATTTTTGTGACCGGGTTCTGTCTTAGAGCAAACGGGCAGACCTGAAACAATTGTCAACTCCTGGCGTTATGGTTCACATATATTTCCCCATATATTATACATATTTTAGATGCAATTTAAATCACAGCTGGTCATGCCGAATTATACAGTATGATTGAACACATTTAACTGTGTCTTGGGTATATTTTTAGATACAAGACAAATGTAAAATCAAAAATTATTTCAGAGGGATTCTTTGACGAAGAACTTGAAATCATACGCGCATTTTATTGGTTTGTTGTATTTTCGCACATAACATTCATCGATAGGGTGACAAGTCTTCTTGCAGGTTACTGAAAGGGGCGAGTGGTGGCGAATGGTGATTGTTGTGTTAAACAACGACAAACCTATTTAATAATCTTCAACCATCTGGTGAACTGTTTAACTTTGAGTGAGACGGTTGATGTGTTACTGAAACTGTCATGTGTTTGCCAGGACTTCTCCATCCAACAACTGGAGCGTCGGATCAACCGGATGAGTGGAGAGCGGAGCAATGAGGAGAAGATCCAACTGGAAGCACGGATAGCGGAACTCACTGGAGAGCTGGACAACAAGAATTCCACCCACGTGCTGCTGACAAGTCAGCTCAAGAGACTACAGGTTACACATCGAATCAATTTGTCTTTAGAATTCACCTACACAAAAAATACTACAAACAATAAGTCATACATTGCATGTCATTTGAAGCACCCGGGGCGGTCGGGTAGCCTCGTGGTTAAAGCATTCGCTCGTCACGCCAAAGGCCCGGGTTTGATTCCCTATATGGGTACAATGTGGGAAGCTTATTTCTGGTTCCCCCACCGTGAAATTGCTGGAGTATTGCTAAAAGCGGTGTAAAACCATACTCACTCACTCACACATTTGAAGCCCCCCTTTTTTCATGAATTATACATGTCAAATCAAATAAACATTTGGTTCTGCTGAGACAGCAGTAAGTTGATCAATTAACGTATGAGAATTATTTATCAATATACAATGATGCTGGAAGCCAAATTGAAAAATTCTGTAAACTGACGAGCGTCTGTTCTTGTTATCCCCCATCACAACAGAGGGTATACAGAAACTGGCTACAGCCGTCTATGCGTCACATTACGTTTCCGGAGCAGAACTCTGAAAGCATAAGAGATCACTTTACAGAACTTGGTACATACATTCAGCATATAGTGTAGTTGTGCCTTTGCTATTTATGATTTCAAAAAAAAAATTATATTTTATATGAATTTTATAAATTTGGACTTAGTCACTGAACTGAATAAAAGCAGTAGGTTTCATTTCCAGAGCGGAACTGGAATATTATTTCACGAATACAATAACAAGTCTGATGTAGCAGCTGTAATATTTTTTGTATTATTTCTTATATTCAGTGAAACATTGACAACATAAAATATTTGACATGGTTTGTTATTATATTATACATTTATATTCTGCACTTATCCAGGAACTTGTATCTGCTCAAATGCTACAATGACCAGTGACCACAATACTGTCAAACTAAATATTATAAGAGTATTGTGTTTGAAGAAATCTACGCATATTATATGTTCTTATGATATTTTTGGGTACAGGGTATGTAAATATGCAGATGCTTGCGTTTTCAAAAATATTCAATTCTAGTGGCCACGAATAACGGATTCAATTCACAAATGGATACCATTCGATTCACCGAATATGCGAGTGAATCGTAACAGCCCTAGTAACTACAATGCTCTACAATACAATTCATGATATCTAAATGAGTGAATTGTTCATTGCTCAAGGATACAAAATACTCTTAGCCTTCACCTACTGGAAACTGATATAACCTTTGTTTATCAAACAGTCTTACTAAAGCAGATATTTGCCACAAGTTTTGTGGAGATGTTATACAGTAGCTCTTGTATTCAACCTCTTCCACAAGCAGGTGGACAACTGATGATTTACAATGTCACATTTGATTGCGCATATCATTATCGTTATGATTGGACAATGGGTAGGGTATATAGGCGACTTGGTCTTCTAGTTTTCATGTATGACTGTATGACATGTTCTGTGTTGCAGGATGACATCCGGCGCGTGACGAGGGAGCTCGGGGAGAGTGGGGCAGAGAAGTCCGATCTCACCAGCAAGATTGAGGAGCTCAATCTCTACAATGACAGCTCGGAGAGGGAGCTGAGGAAGATCATCCACGCCAAACAGGTACGTCGCTTGAAAGTGTTGACCTCTTAGAACATGTAGGATTCTGCTTGAAAAAAATGGCATATTTATTCAGATTAATGTCGGTGAAAACACTTTTCTCCCTTCAATACAGTTATTCAAGGATAAGGAGTCGTCTCCCTTTACATGGTCTGTCGTGCCCTTCTCGTGTCGATTCCTGAGAATAAGGAAGCATACGTGTGATTCAAAGCATGGATAATAATGGTCATAATAATTTCCCTGTTTAGTTCTTCACTACTGTGGGGCAGTCGGGTAGCCTAATGGTTAAAGCGTTCGCTCGTCACGCCAAAGACCCGGGTTTAGTTTCCCGACATGGGTACAATGTGCGAAGCCCATTTCTGGTGTCCCCCGCCGTGATATTGCTGGAATATTGCTAAAAGTGGCGTAAAACCATACTTTCTCACTGACTCTTCATCACTGTGTGACATGCAATGTCATAGTTACAATATTCCAGCTGTATCTGGTGGTAGAAGGAAGGCCTGTGTCAGGGACAGAAGACTTCATGTGAAGCATTGTTCTGGATCATGAAACTTAAGGTTATGACAGCTTTAGAAATTGGCACTATCCTAGCATGTAGGGACAAGTAGAAATTTGCCCTTTTAAGGGTTTTGCTATATGTTATCATTATAAGAACCAGTGGGATAAAACTGTTAGTTTCTATCGCTGTTGTGATCAGAAATAAAAAATGATATCAAATTAGCATCGTATAGATCACTTTTTCCAGAGGGTTGCTCCAAATCATGTGTGGCAGAGACTGCCAGACCCACCATGGCCTCTAGCATCATGTTTAGTAGAATTTAGTGTTCTTCTATGGACAATTTTTAGCTAGGCTTAGGAGTCCGAACAGAATTTTACTAGAATCTGGCTTCAAACTAGTGGCTTAAGACGCAGACCTGACGCAAGCGCTAAGTGATTGTAATCCAAGATCTATAACAAGAGTCGTGAGCTTGAGTATTTGGAAGTTGTCACAATCCATCACCTTTGAAGAGAGTATGAAATATGTTTGGTTTTCTAGAATAAAGACTGTTGACTTTATGAACCAGCTTGTCACTGTTGTTATGTCCTGCAGGATCTGATGGTCGACGAGAACCTAATGAAGCTGGAGATCAAGCGTCTGAGGGACATACTCAACAGCAAGGCTGACTGTGTGTTGAGTATGGAGAAGAGGAAGCTGCAGCTGGAGACAGTAAGTGTTGTCTACATGCTGATTGTGTAGGCTGTACCAGCAGCAGCTTAGGGGTAAACCGTTTGACGTTCTGGAGTGCTGGGAATTTCTTTATGAATTGTTTGGGAAAATGTTAAAAAAAAAATAAATATTCTGTTCCAAACAAACATCCAAGCACCACTCCATCCCATACCCCAGCACTCCGACCCATACCCCACCACCCCAGCCCATACCCTACCACCCCAGCACTCCACCACATACCCCACTACTCCATACCCATACCCTACCACCCCAGCACTCCGACCCATACCCCACCACCCCAGCCCATACCCTACCACCCCAGCACTCCGACCCATACCCCACCACCCCAGCCCATACCCTACCACCCCAGCACTCCGACCCATACCCCACCACTCCATACTCATACCCTACCACCCCAGCACTCCGACCCATACCCCACTACTCCATACCCATACCCTACCACCCCAGCACTCCGACCCATACCCCACTACTCCATACCCATACCCTACCACCCCAGCAGTCCACCACATACCCCACTACTCCATACCCATACCCTACCACCCCAGCACTCCGACCCATACCCCACTACTCCATACTCATACCCTACCACCCCAGCACTCCGACCCATACCCCACTACTCCATACCCATACCCTACCACCCCAGCACTCCGACCCATACCCCACTACTCCATACCCATACCCTACCACCCCAGCACTCCGACCCATACCCCACCACCCCAGCCCATACCCTACCACCCCAGCACTCCACCACATACCCCACTACTCCATACCCATACCCTACCACCCCAGCACTCCACCACATACCCCACTACTCCATACCCATACCCTACCACCCCAGCACTCCACCACATACCCCACTACTCCATACCCATACCCTACCACCCCAGCACTCCACCACATACCCCACCACTCCATACCCATACCCTACCACCCCAGCACTCCAACCCATACCCAACCACCCCAGCCCATACCCTACCACCCCAGCACTCCACCACATACCCCACCACCCCATACCCATACACTACCACCTCACCAACCCACCCCATATCCATACCCCACCACCCCTTCCCACCACACTACCCCATACCCCACCACTCCATACCCATAACCTACCACCCAAGCACTCCAACCCATACCCATACACTACCACCCCACCACCCCACCCCATATGCATACCCTCCCACCCCTCCACCTCATACCCCACTACCCCACCACTCTACCCCATACCCATACCCCACCACTCCACCCCACCTGATACCCCACCACCCCACCACTCTACCACTCTACCCCATACACATACCCCACCACCCTATCCCATACTCCACCACCCCAGCCCATACGCCACAACCCCACCACTCCACCCCATACTCCCCCACCCCACCCGATACCCAACCACCCCACCACCCCATCACTCTACCCCATACCTCATCCCATACTCATCCCATACTCCACCACTCCACCACACCACCCCACACTCCACAACCCCACCACTCTACCCCATACTCCACCACCCCACCCCATACTGGTTCAGACCATTTAAGGTGTGGCACTACTCATGCATGTTGTGTCGCCAGGCCATGAAGGAGAGGCGCCAGGAGATCAACATCCACAAGGACATGCTGACAGCTCAGTTCCGGGTGGCTGACGACGAGAGGCAGCAGATCAGTGCCGAGCTGCATGAGAGAATCTCAAAGATTGACAAACTCAGAAAGAGGTTAGTTACCATAACTCGCACAAGCCACCATATCATTCAACACGTGCCCTAGACAGTACTGCAACTCAAATTTAGATCTTGTGTGATGCACCTTTCCTCCAAGGGATTACGAGTTCCACAGCACCCCATTGTTACAAGAGACAAGCCCAGTGGGAATCAAGATGGTGACAGTGTGCCGTCTTACCCCCACAACATCGTTTGTCATAGTCTTCCAAAAATCAGAACGAGAAATAATTATTTGAAATATAGTTGAAATCGTGCTGATTGTGGCACAAAAACAGTATTGTTTTGACTCAATAACAGATTTAGGATTTTGGCAGTCGTCTAGGGAACTGCAATTAACTGTGCAGAGTTGCTTCCCTTTGGCATACAAGCAATCTGTGATCATGGTTCAGTCCCAGAATAGCCCTGATTATGTTTCTAGGTTTGTCAGTACCATACCCGTGCTCATGGGTTTCACCAAAGTAGTAAACGTCTGAGACCTGCATCACTTCGGTTCTCCTCCGCATCAATCTCACATACGTAACTTGGATATTCTTCAAAGCAGCCTTAAACCAAACTCACTCACTCATTTTAGTGGAGAAGGGCAATAAGATATGGATGACAAATGATACTGATGAATTCATCTGCTCTTTAATGCTATTAATATTATTTCGGGATTAATGGCATTTGAGAGCATATTTGATTTCCAAGTGGGGTTATTCATTCCCATGAACCCCCCCCCTGGATCTGTCTTCCACTCAAGTATGTCCTCCTGCAGTGATGTAATCTGTGGATGGTCTGTCTACAGGTACGAGATCCTGATGGTGTCCATGGCTCCACCAGAAGGGGAGGAGGAGCGATCACAAGCCTATTATGTCATCAAGGTAAAAGAACCGTGAAGAGCCGTGGTAGCAACCCATGTTTGCCGTAAAAAGCGACTATGCTTGTCGTAAGAGCCAACTAATGGGATTGGGTGGTCAGGCTTGGTTGATGCATGTCATCATATCCCAGTTGCGTGGATTGATGCTCATGATGTCAATCACTGGATTATCTGGTCCAGACTGGATTATTTACAGTTGCCATCATATAGCTGGAATATTGCTGAGTGCGGCGTTAAACAACAAACAAGGTAAACATCAAGGTAAAAACAATGTCTTCATTGACATCATGTCATTCACTTCAGATCTGTCCGCAACTCTTCTGCTATTTATGCAGGAAAGCGTCCCGACATGGGTACAATGTGTGAAGCCCATTTCTGGTGTACCCAGCCGTGATATTGCTGGAATATTGCTAAAAACGGCGTAAAACCATACTCACTCACTATTTATGCAGGCCACAAGGCAAAGTACCAGGAATTAAGTCAACCTTTAAGTAGGCTCTGCTCTGCTCGGCTCTGCTCTGCTCTGCTCTGCTCTGCTCGGCTCGGCTCGGCTCTGCTCGGCTCGGCTCGGCTCGGCTCGGCTCGGCTCGGCTCGGCTCGGCTCGGCTGAGGACTGTCAGCTAAGTTGACCTCTGAGCAGCAGACCTCTGTGTTATATGCTGACCCTACCTGTCCCTGTTGAGTTTCTGGCTTAGAATTTGTCCCCCAAAACCTATGCTTATCGTCAGTGATCAGGATCTGTGACATGGTTGACTGGGTATCATCATAACCAGACAGAGTGGAACATTGCTCATAATATCAATCACGGGTTTGTCTAATGCAGACCTGGTTAATTAAAAGCTGCCATCCTATTGCTGGAATTTTGCTGAGAGTTTCATTACACGACAAACACACAGTTGCAACCTCAGTGCTTGTCCCCAGGCTGCCCAGGACAAGGAGGAGCTGCAGCGCGAGGGGGATGAGCTCGACGCCCAGATCAGGAAGGCCGAGAAGGAGATCCGAGCCCTGGAGAACACTCTCAAACTGATGAACAGCCGCAATGAAACATACAGGAAGAGCTTCAACAAGATTACAGAGACAAGTGAGTGCTTCAGCCCAGCGAACATCTCTTATAGAATAGTCTTGAAGCTTTACTGAGATATGTGAGATATTTTGAAGTAATGAAGTATGTGTGCTGGAGATGATGTCATGATGAAGTGTCTTACACACCTGTGGGTGAGAAACCTGTTTGAGATAACTGGTAGAGAACATGCGTGAGATCAAACTCCAGGTCCGTGATTGGTAACTCCATGGTGATGACCTGAGGTCAGATTATGACGTACTACTTTCCGGATTGTTATTCATTGATATATTTCTTGTGCTTCAGTCAAATTCACCTTCGTCAAAACTTTATGGTTTTTGAGTGTTTAATAAATTGTCTTTGGTCTTATCCATTATCAATGCTAAAATGAGAGTTCAGGATGTGTTAGAAACAGATTACTGCACTCATGTTTGTCAGACACCATTTATCTTACATCTTGTTTTTTCAAACCGTTTCTGACTCACTTTTGCTCATTAGATACTCTTTGAAACAATTCTTAAGATGAATGGTATCAGACAGACACTCATGTAGTAATCTGTTTCTTACACACCCGACAATCACACCATTTTAGCATCGAATCGATGCATATTTTGTCTATTCTCATGACCACAGTGGCACATCAATACATAACACAATGGTTATTTGTGATGTCATCCGGCCTACTGCTTACTACCTATAACTAGTGTCACCCTCCACAACAACACTTCCGCCATACCTGTAGATTATCAAGGCGAAGATGACAATGCAAACTAGATAAAGTCAAAGAACATTAATGCACAGATGTAGGTGAATTCGACCAATGCACGAAAACTTATCAATGAATCCCAATCAGGAAAGTAATCTGTCATTATCTGACCTTAACCTGTGTGTCTATGCTGCAGGTGATGAGATGGAGGAGAAGCAGCAGCTGGAGGAGCAGATGCGGGCCGTGATGGACAAGTACAAGTACAAGAGAAGGCAGATCAGGGAGCTGCAGGATGACCTGCAGGTAGGGGAGACTACTCTCGCTTATTTTCCTCGCTGCCACAATTCTTGTATGTCAAAGATTTTCAGTCATTAATATGATAATACTTCATACCAAGTTCAAGATTTAATTGTTCTTTGTTGCCTCCCTTGGGCACGCCAGAAACCTATGATTGTGGGTTCAAACCCCGGTTCCCCCGATTATGTTTCTAGGTTTGTCTGCACCATACCCGTGCTTGTGGGTTTCACCGAAGTGATAAACATCTGAGACCTGCATCACTTCGGGCTTTCCTCCCACATTAAGCTGACACACCGTTATAGAACTGGAATACTGTTACAAGCGGCGTTAATCCCATCTCACTCACTTACTCACTATTGGGGCATATCACCAATGCTTCGTATTCACTAATTGTTCTTTGGGGATTGGGGATCAGAAATAGTCCTCAGAAAAAGGGGATTAGGTGATGAGACTGGTTAGCTGAATGTATGTCATAATACTACTATTCTGGGGGTGCTCATGCTGTCGGTCATCGGTTTGCAGGACTATATTTTATACATGTGACTGTCATGTAGCTGGAATATTAGAGCAACATAAAACAACATTCATTCACACAAAATGTCCACCTGCACATGTATACTTCTCACAGAAAGCAAAGCCCCCAACACAATATCTGATACATAAAGTGCACCTACACATTAAAATGAATTGATGATTCTGTTGATTTCCAGACGATGAGCAACACTCTGGACAATCTCACAAGAGATGAAGATGCATATGTTGATATGATTGAGGACAAGAAGGTAATATTTGATCATCATCTTATTTCTTCTTTTGAACTGATGGCTAAATGTTTGCTCAATGGTGATCACTGGCAGATGCTCCCATCCTTTGTTTAATATCCCGGGGGCACGGGTGGCCCAGTCGTCTAAGGTGCAGCAATCCCTGTGCAGAGTTGCGTCCCTTGGGCACGCCAGAAACCTATGATTGTGGGTTCGAATCCCGGTTCGCCCCAATTATGTTTCTAGGTTTGTCAGCACCATACCCGTGCTCGTGGGTTTCACCGAAGTGGTAAACATCTGAGACTTGCATCACTTCGGGCTTTCCTCCCACATTAAGCTGACACGCCGGGATATAACTGGAACAATGTTAAAAGCGGCGTTAAACCCAACTCACTCACTCACTCACTTGTTTAATATCCTTGATTCACCCTTGTCTTCTATTTGATGATATGAGACCACCTCCATGGTAGAGTGTCCACCCAGAGAGCAGAAGGTCCGGTGTTCGATCCCCAGGCGCGTCATACCAAAAGACGTTAAAAGATGGTACTTGTTGTTACCCTGTCTGCCACTTAGCATTGAGGGGCTAAAACAAGGACTTATCAGCTCAGAGTCAGCAACTGTGTCTGAGTGGGGTATTCATGATAAACTGTGGCATGGTATCTCAGTGAGCTAACACTATAAATCGGCATCAGTCCGGACTAGTACAAGCAGCCACACACACACACGTACATGCACGTCGCTATATAAGTCCAATAATCTTGGACGCAACATTAAACCCAATTTCACCTCGTTATCAGTATCTCAAAATTGTGTGTGTAATGCTGAAATTATTGTTTGTTAAAAATGTAATCATGTTTGTTTTTCAGAACAAAATTCTCCAACTGACCAAAGACCTTGAAGTCCAGAGAACAAAACTGGAGAGAGTTGCAAAACAGGCATGTGTAGCCTCTGTTGTAATGTCATATGGTCATGTGTAATATTACTGACTATTTATGTTAAAAATACAGCTGTGGAGAAGTGTGTAGCATATGTGCAGTTTTTATCTTTTCCCCATCTTCCGAGGCAAGTGAGTTAACTGCTTTAAAAGTCCAGTTTCCACCCTTGCCGAACTAGGCTGAAATTCCTGGGCTCGATCATAGCACTACCAGTGGTTATGATGGGTTATGTCCCTTCTGAGCCTCTCCTATTGACCAATCAGATTCCATCACTCGCAAAATGGTGGCTTACAGTCAAGACGATGTGATCGATAATCAAGATCTTTATTGTGATAAAACGGGTCTTACTTCGCGAAGTGCATCAAATCACGCGAGAACCTTGATTTTAAACATTAAAAGGTTTGGAAAATATCTGGTGACGAGTTGGCAGTGCACATGCTTTGAGAATCCTGCAATCAACCGAAATCTGCACGACAGTTTAGGAACTGGATTTCGATTTCGTTGCAAGATTTTGATTGGACCATGCATAGACTCGTTAGTCCAGCCAAAATGTAACTCCATAATACCAGCCAAGTTCGGCAAGGGTGGAAACTGGACTTTTATAGTCAGTTAACTCTCATGCCTCGGGAAGATGTCTTTTCCCAAAAATATTACCACGTGGATGGTAAAACCAAAACAGCATCTCAACAACTCTTCAGCATAATATGCCAGGTTGTCTAGTATTATACACTGCATCATCCCATTCAGTGGAACTTGGCCTGTGTATTAATAATAGATTTTATTGGTCGTATTCAGTTTTTAATTCATATGTGTGTGTAACATGTTAGACATATCATGTATGAACGCCATCAATGTGGAAATCTCTGAAACATCCTTAAATGTTACTGAGGATGTAATGAGGTTTAACATGTTATTCTTCATATTCCAGAATGCCAAATATGCAAGAGAAGTCCGTTCTGCCAAAAAAAGCAAGGGTGAAACACCAGAAGAGGTAAGCTTTCTCCTCGACACTTATTCAGATTCTCCAACTTAACAGCTCAATCTTGAGTCGCTGTAAAAGGCGACTATGCTTGTCGTAAGAGGCGACTAATGGGATCGGGTGGTCAGACTTACTGAATTGGTTGATGCATGTCATTGTATCCCAATTACGTAGATCGATGCTCATGATGTCAATCACTGGATTGTCTGGTCCAGACTTGATCATTTACAGACCACCGTCATATAGCTTGAATATTGCTGACTGCGACATTAAACAACAAACAAACATAAACAAAACAGTCTTAACTCCTTTCCTTTTCCTGATTTGTTTACATTTGTGGAACATTAAAGCTAAATGTAATGTTTGTCTGATGCTTGTGTTGTTGTTCCAGCGTGACTTTGAAGTCCGTGAGATGCGTGAGTTCAACAAGTCCATCATGAAAGGTGTCTCAGATGTCGTGCAGGTCAACACCGAACTCAATGAAGCTGTGAATATGTACTTCTCTCAGGTCAGTAGCCCACCAGAGTGGTTGTCATATGACTCTCACAGGTCATTGGTCTGTCGGAGGATTATATGACGTTCTCGGGCAAGTAGTCTATCAGAGAGGGTTAAATAATGCTCTCAGGTCAGTAGCCCTTCACAAAGGGTTACGTAAGTCTTTCAGGTCAGTAGCCCAGCAGATAGGTTGTTATTTAACACTCTCAGGTCAGTAGCCCAGCAGATAGATTGTCATATGACTCTCACAGGTCATTGGTCTGTCGGAGGATTATATGACGTTCTCGGGCAAGTAGTCTATCAGAGAGGGTTAAATAATGCTCTCAGGTCAGTATCCCTTCACAAAGGCTCAAGTAAGTCTTTCAGGTCAGTAGCCCAGCAGATAGGTTGTTATTTAACACTCTCAGGTCAGTAGCCCAGCAGATAGGTTGTCATTTAACACTCTCAGGTCAGTAGCCCATCAGGTAGGTTTTTCACAGCACCTGTAACTGTATATTGTCTCTGTATCCAGGCTAACCTGCCACCCCCACGTCGAGTGGCCACCGCCCAGGCAGTTCTCACAGCACCTGTAACTCTTTATTGTCTTTGTATCCAGGCTAACCTGCCACCCCCCACCCCGAGTGGCCACCGCCAAGGCAGTTCTCGCAGCACCTGTAACTGTATATTGTCTCTGTATCCAGGCAAACCTGCCACCCCCAACCCTGAGTGTCCACCGCCCAGGCAGTTCTCGCAGCACCTGTAACTCTTTATTGTCTTTGTATCCAGGCTAACCTGCCACCCCCCATCCCGAGTGGCCACCGCCAAGGCAGTTCTCGCAGTACCTGTAACTGTATATTGTCTCTGTATCCAGGCTAACCTGCCACCTGCCACCCCCCACCCTGAGTGGCCATCCCCCAGGCAGTTCTTGCAGCACCTGTAACTGTATATTGTCTCTGTATCCAGGCTAACCTGCCACCCCCACGTCGAGTGGCCACCGCCCAGGCAGTTCTCGCAACACCTGTAACTGTATATTGTCTCTGTATCCAGGCTAACCTGCCACCCCCCACCCTGAGTGGCCACCGCCCAGGCAGTTCTCGCAGCAGCCTGTCCTCAGCCCGCAGTTCCTTGTCCAGCATCAAGAGCATCCAGTCGTCCCGGAGCCGTCCTTCCTCCATACAGATCGGGGCCGACTTTGAAGGTCAGTGTCCAGTGTTTTCAGGTTTTCTGTGAAATGTAGTAAACGGAGTTTTTGTGGACACTTCGTAGTTATTTCAAGCCTTTTCTTTTGTGTATATATGTAAACATTTATTGGATACAGTGTGAGTATTCCGACAGCACCTTCCCGAGGCCATGGAGTTAACTGACTGACAAAGTCCGGTTTCCACCCTTGCCGAACTAGGCTGGAATTATGGAGTTATATTTTGGCTGGACTAACGAGTCTATGCATAGACCAATCCAAATCACATAACGAAATCAACATCCAGTTCGTTAACTGCCATGGAGATTTCGGTCGATTGCAGGATTTGCAACCACCAACTTTACATCAACACATTTTTTGAAAATCTTGTCATGTTTTTAATCAAGGTGCCCACCTGATTTGATGCACTTCTTAAAGTAAGACCCGTTTTATTACAATATAGATCTTGATTATCGATCAGATCGTCTTCACTTGGTGCCGCCATTTTGTTTGAAGCAAAAAGGATGTGATATCAGAGGGGGAATAGCCACTGATGGGGCTACAGTCAGGCCCTGAGATTCCAGACTAGTTCGCCAAGGGTGGAAACTGGGCTTTTAAAGCCAGTTACCTCCCTTGCTTCGGGAAGATGGCTTCAAAAGTGACATGACAGACCATATTTTAGATCATAACAGATTTTTTTACAGTAAACACAACAGTGTTGAAAGGATTGTAACTTCTCAGAATCGTTTATCAGAACAGTTTAGTTTCATGGATGTTCGAACTAATTCTGTTCTCTACCACTCGATCTCTGATAAAAATTAACTTATGTATGGTGCTTATTACTATTATTGAGATTGTTTGATTTAAAACCCATGCCTTTTGGCATCTTGGCAATGTGGTTATCATATGGTCTAGTGGTAGAGCATCTGCCCAGAGAGCGGGAGGACAGGGGTCATACCAAAAGACTTCAAAAGATGGTATTTGTTGTTACCCTGCCTGGTGCTCAGCAATAAGGGGCTAAAACAAGGACTGGTCAGCTCCGGAGTCAGTATTCTGTGTCTGAGTTGGGTAATAATGTTAAACTGCAGGTATCTCAATGGGCTAGCACTATAAAATCGGCATTAGTCCGAACTAGTACAAGCAGCCACACACATACATGCACATCACTTTAAAAGTGCAATAATCTTCAACGCGACATTAAACCTCTTTTGACCTATTATATTGTTATCATGTGGTTATCATATGGTTATCATGTGTGCTAATGTTGTTATATGGTTATCATGAAGTCATCTGTGGTCATGTATGGTTATCATAAGGTTATCATGTATTGTTATGTGATATGGTTATAAGGTTATCACAAGAGTATCATGTGGTTATATGGTTATCATGTGTGGTTATATGGTTATAAAGTTATCATATGGTTATTGTCATGCCCAGGGCCTGGATCTCCCAGCAGCGCCCGCAGTGGTAGCTCCATCGGCAGTGTGCGTAGTGACCGCAGCCGTACCAGCATCACCGGACGCAAGTAACAGAGCACCTGCCTTCACACCAGCCACCTGTGATACGTCTTTCAGAAGATTTTTTAATATAGAACATCTACTGTCGTATATTCCATTGAAGAACCATTCCAATTTATTTCATTTTTAAATCATTTCTTATCTAATAGGAGGATTACAGTGTTCTCAAAATTATTGTTTAGAATCTGAAATACATTAACTCTTCTGAGGGAAAAAATGAAGATTACTACTCTCAAGACTATAAAGCTTGTATTTTATGTCAAGTACAAAAGTTCAACACTGTCTTATTTGGAATCTTGATTTTTTAATCTTTCATTTGTTTCCTTTGCCTGCATGGTGTTTTTTTGTATAAAGATCACCTAATTACAGCATGAATGGGCTTGTTTCACAATTCTGCATAGAAATTTGCCAGACTTTATGCAGGAAACTGTTCTTATCAAGTGATTGTATTGTGTCATGTGGAAACGAGATGTTTCAAACACAAAAGTATTTAATGTACATTCATATTTGTCTTACCATTGTACATAATATTTAGTTTGTATTTATACAATTGTATAGAAAAGCTTGTCAAGTATGAATTGTGAATCACTGATTAAATTTGTAAAAGTGGAAGTTTTTGATGTTTGTCATCAACTGATGTTATTCTCTTGCTTGAACCATTAACTGTATCTGCACTCCAGTGGTTCTCTGGACCAGGCTAGCAGAAAACAACATTCATCAGTCACTTAGTTTTGAGACCGGCGACAGGGTCTTGTGGATAGAGCATCCTCGAGGGCACAATCTCATTAAAATCAGATCTTAGTTTTCACTACTGCTGAACAAAGATCTGAGGACATCCCATTATGGGTCATGTCAGACCGACCTTTCGCAAACTTCGAACGACCAATGGAATGACTGACAAGAAGACTTCATTAGCCAATCAGAAGGCAGCTTAATCAAGGTTTACGGCACGGGTTTCGAACTGGGGACTACGCCTCGAAACATATTTTGACATATACTCGATTAAAAAATTAAGAACTGAACTAAAGTACATTCTGGAATAGCTAATAGATGGTCTAGATTGTATGAATAAAGTCATAAAGCCCATAACAGTCATTCGGAATACCCGGTATGGTTTATTTTCGAGGTTGCATGGTCAAAAATCACATTCCAACTGTCACTTTTTATGATCTGATAAGCGATGCTCTGATTGGTCAGATGAAAGGTCGTCCTGATGTGATCCATTATTGGATGTCCTCAGATCTTTATTTTGCGGTAGCGAGAACTAAGATCTGATTTTAATGAAATTTTCGAAGGCAGAAATTCAGGGTTTGATCCTTGGCCACGTCATACCAAAAGACGTTAAAAGATGGTACTTGGCACTCGGCATTAAGGGGCTAAAACAAGGACTGGTCGGTATACAGTGTCTGAGTGGGGTATTCATGTTAAACTGCGACATGGTATCTCAGTGGGCTATAAAATGGGCATTTGTCCAGACTAGTACAAGCAGCCACGCATGGCACTAATAAGTGCAATAATTTTGTGTTCATCCTTAGTGCTCGAGTTCCATATATGTACCTGCTCTACATGGCTCTGTGCCACAACAAAAATACTTGTGAAAGAGGGGTCACAGGTGGCCCAGTCGTCAAAGGCGCCGCGATTCGCTGTGCAGAGTTGCGTCCCTTGGGCACGCCAGAAACCTATGATCTTGGGTTCGAATCCCGGTTCGCCCCAATTATGTTTCTAGGTTTGTCAGCACCATACCCGTGCTCATGGGTTTCACCGAAGTGGTAAACGTCAGAGACCTGCATCACTTCGGGCTTTCCTCAGTTATATTCAAGTCAGTACAAAGTTTGTTAAACATTATTAATTATAGGTGTTAATAAACTGCTCACATGATGGAGAGTGACTATCATGTCAGTTAACCATGTATTCACCCATTTCATGAATCCTTACACTGAATCATCTTTTACGTCATGGAATTAGAAATCCACCCCATGTGTAGTTTCAGGTCGGGGTTAATTTCACAAGAATGGGGTTTTCATTGTCCCAGAATCTCATGATTTGGTATTTAATCCCAGAATTGTCCTCATCAATATTCCGGATTTACAGCACCATGTCCGTGCTCATAGATTTTACCAATGTGATAAATGTCTGACGCCTGCATCACTTTAATTTAGGCTTTCTAAAATATGACTATGAAATACTGTTTACAGTGGAGTTAATCCCAAGTGGCCCCAATATTTAATCTATGTGATTTGATAAATTTGTCGAGAAAAAGTTAGAAGCACTCATAAAATTACTGAAGGTAATTTGGACCCATGAAGATTCTGGGGTGGAATAGGTCTTCAGCAACCCATACTTGCCATCAAAGTCGACCATGCTTGTCGTCGGAGGCGACAAAAGGGATCGAGTGGTCAGGCCCGCTGACTTGGTTGATGCATGTCATCGTTTCCCAATTGCGTGGATCGATGCTCATGACATCAATCACTGGATTGACTTGTAAAGCACCGTCATAGAGGTATGTACCCTGAATTTAGTGCCCAGGCAGTTGATATACACTGGCAAGATGCAGTGGGCATATTGCTGACTACTACTACTATTTGATAAATTTGTCGAGAAAAAGTTAGAAGCACTCATAAATTACTGAACGTATTTGGACCCCGTGAAGATTCTGGGGTGGAATAGGTCTTCAGCAACCCATGCTTGCCATCAAAGTCGACCATGCTTGTCATCGGAGGCGACAAAAGGGATCGAGTGGTCAGGCTCGCTGACTTGGTTGATGCATGTCATCGTATCACAAGTGCGTGGATCGATGCTCATGGCGTCAATCACTGGATTGTCTGGTCCAGACTGGATTATTTACAGACCGCCGTCATGTAGCTGTAATATTGCTGAGTGCGGCGTTATACAACAAACAAAATTAATGAGATTCAACGGAATGCCCTGCTACAGAACTTTGAGTTTGTTAGGGAGGCCTACTAGTTATATGCATGTGACAGGAAGTACGCAGGGGTATGACGGGTAAATGAGTATCGGGTTTTAGCCGTAAATATCTTTCTCTAGATGCTTCCCTGCACACAGACTGACATCTAGACTCTGAAATGAAAATATTTTTCATAAGAAATAAAAGCTGTTAAATTATCTAAATACAATAATATAAAAAGGAGCGCAGAGACTCTCTTTATTTTCAGAATGAAACTGCAGTAATCTAGACTTGCTCACTTGTATGGGCTCTGTTGGATATATTTGTTTCAGGGTCTGTGACAGACGAGCATCCATGCATCATCGCTGGCGTAAATGATCCTGTAATACTCTAGTTTAATATATGGGGAAAACTGTTTTCACACATTTTAAAATTCAAAAAGCATACACATGAACACGATCAAAGCAATCTTAGCGCTAAGTCTGTCGTAAGTCTATGTTAAAGTATGGGAGTTACGATCATCTTAGCGCTACGATCGCTTTGTGGAACGGGGCCCAGGTCAAGCTGATCACTGACTCCCACCGTCAACACGGAAAACTCCACAACTGCCATTAGATTCAATCGCAGTTGTTCAATTTTGCTCAAGCAGATGCAACGCGAAACGCCTGGCTTATGAGTGAAACAAGTCCGGTCATATTAAGCTCAATGCTTACATTATCGCCCTATGTATAACGTCCTATGTGGTAGCCACATCCCTGTGGTTTCTACAAAAGGATATCCAATTACCGGGCAAGGAAAGTATAAATTTGAAACCTGGATTTGACCAAAACATTACGAACGTTATCAAAACGTTACTAGGCTGAAAACAGTCGCAGGAATACTGAAAGCGTAAGCTCCAGAGTGAGTGAGTGAGTACGGTTTTACGCTACTTTTAGCAACATTCAAGCAATATCACGGTGGGGGACACCAGAAATGGGCTTCACACATTGTACCAATGTGGCGGATCGAACCCGGTTCATCCGCGTGTCGAGCGAACACTATAACCACTAGGCTACCCGACCGCCCCTGTAAGCTCCAGAACACAACTATGATACCCGTATTAAATACAGCATCGAATAACCATTTCTAATTTGTTTCGTTTTAACCACCATCAAACATGGATAAAACCTCTTGCCCTGCAGTGTATTGAGGTCACGTGCTTAGGTCTTCCAGACTTGGGGGCACGGGTGGCCCTGTCGTCTAAGGCGCCGCGATTCGCTGTGCAGAGTTGCGTCCCTTGGGCACGCCAGAAACCTCTGATTTTGGGTTCGAATCACGGTTCGCCCCGATTATATTTCTAGGTTTGTCAGCACCATACCCGTGCTCGTGGGTTTCACCGAAGTGGTAAACGTCTGAGTCCTGCATCACTTCGGGCTTTCCTCCCACATTAAGCTTACACGCCGCAAAATAACTGGAATACTGTTAAAAGCGGCGTTAAACCCAACTCACTCACTCACTCACTCACTCACTCACTCTTCCAGACTTGGGATCGCTCGATGTCTCCCTTTATTTGTATTGATCCTAATAAAACAGAGACTGGCCCAGTCTACGCCAAGAGACGGTCTCCATACACTGTTCTCATGTCCACGTAAGTAGTAGATGTCAGTTTATGATGGATGTGTCTCCTATGACCACGGCCACCACCTTGTCCGGTTGTTCGGCTCTCTCTGGTTGTGAGGGCAGCACCCCGACCGTGAGCTCGGGGCATTAGCCTAATCTGCCTTTCAAGTGGGGTATATAGCCCCAGCTACATGAGGCCAGACTTGTCATTAACACACATGCTATTTTGATACAGGTAATAAAAGGAAATGTACCGAACGGCGGGGAAATGTTGACAACATTTTCACAGACCCTTCGAAACCACTGGTCGAGACATAACATAGTACACGCTTCAGTAGGCTCCCGGTTAGCAATGACACGAGGAATGTATACGGGGATTTGTCGTGCGTGTGTGAAGTTTATGGTCAAGATGATAAAACTTATCCTTTCTCATCTAGCTTTGATCACATATGTTTTATCACATCTGTTTATTGGGGCATATCACCAATGCTTCGTATTCATAATGTATTCGGCGATGAAAGAGAAATGTTATTTTATATATATTTCAAATTGATTATATATGGCAACTATGTAGTTTATTATTCCCTCTTTCGGGATTCCGAGTTTGATTTGGTCCCCAGAAACCTACGATGGTCGTAAAAGGCGCCCAAATGGATCGGGCGGTCAGGCTCGGTTTGATGCATGTCATCGTATCCCAATTGCGTGGATCGATGCTCATAATACCAATCACTGGATTGGCAGGTCCAGACTCGAGTATTTACAGGCCGTCGACATTTAGTGGGAATAATGATGAGTGCGGCGTTAAACAACAAATAAACAAACAAACAAACACATAGTTATTATTATCAGTGTTGTTTTTTGTTGATGACCAATTTGGATCCGACAACACACGACTTCACGTGCATTAACACCCGTGTTAGGGGTGTTGTTCATGAAGCAGTCATTGTGTCTACGTTGAGCTCAGCAGGTTCGGCGCGCCAGTAAAGTCGCTCGAAACACGCTGCGAACATACGCCAAATACAGCTGACTCATACCACGTGATTACCTGGGGATGACTCCGGGTTAGAAAAGCTCTTCAGCAATACAAGCTTTTCGTAAATGTCGACTA